TTTTTGTTTGTTTGGGTGGTTGGTTGGTTGGTTGTTTGTTAATCATTCAATCCATTCCTTTCTCCCTTGAATCTAGAGGACAGAAAAGAAATACCCCTCATAATACGCACTCCGAAAAACGAGGCCATTTAGTGAACGCACTCTGGGAAGAAGCAGTTTGGGAACACTTTCCCTCTCCCTTTTGAACAACTCCGCCCTGTCGCACCCCGGGGCCAGTCGGAAGGGCGGGCCGGGCGTTTCGTGCCATTTGTGAGCCTCAAGCTGAAAAGCTGGCAACGGTTCCACAGATTGAGGGCGGGTCGCTTCCAAAATGCGACTCTCGCCGTCGCGCCGCGCATATTCGTGTCAAATTTCTGCAAGAATTTCACGGATGGAGGGCGATTCGTTTTCAAAATGTGGCTCTCAAATGGCCGCCGCGCACATTTCTGTCAAACATTTGCAAGCACTTCGCGGGTTGAGGCCTGGCCGTTTTCAACATGTGACTCCCGCTTTGGCGCCGCGCAAATTCGTTCCAAACATTTGCAAGGGCTTCACGGATTGAGGGCGATTCGATTTCAGAATGTGGCTCTCGCCTTGGCGCCGCGCACATTCGCCTTCAAGTTGCAAGAGCTTCACGGAGTGAGGGCTGGTCGTCTTCAACATGTGGCTATCTCCTTGGCGCCGCGCACATCCGTTTTAATTGTTTGGCCACAGTGTCACTGCTTCTCACTGCCAGCGTACCAGAAATAGCGTTTCGGAGCGATTCAGGAATGTCAGGGAGCAACAGTTTCGTTGTTTCGCTATGTTGAAATCACAAGAATATTCTGGCACGATTCAGGACCGTCATGGCGCAAAAAATACGTTGGCACGTGGCGTCGAAAACATGGGAATGGTGTTTTGGCACGCTTCCGGATTTTTGCACGGTTGTCCGCCAACGGGGCACTTCCCTCAGTGGAACTGAATTTCTGCAGGGGCGTATGCAAACAGCTTGGAAGGAGGGTGTATTCCAACATCGTTGATGGATCTTTGGTTTGCACACTGGTTTCTCCTGCTCATCCTCTTTCTTCTTCATCAGTTTCCTCCTCCACCTTCTCTCCCTCCTCCTCCTCCCCCTCCTCCTTCTTTCTTCCTCGTCGAGCAATGGTTGAAAGAGGGCCCCCCCCCATATACACCTTCGGGACGCCCGCCGGCCCTTCTTCTTTCTCCTCCTCCTCCTCGTCCTCCTTCTCCTCCTCCTCCTCCTCCTCGTCCTGCGTGCCGTACACTGGCGGGATACAGGCGACACTGGCGGTTCCTTGGGGCACGCATTGTGGCCTCATCGCGCGCCTGCGGGGCCAAGAAAGGACGTTGCTGACGCGGCCGCTGCTCCCGTCGCCGTTGCCCCGGGTCGCTCGACCGCGGGCGGCCAGCGTGTCCGCCCAGGCGCAGGTGCGGAAGTAGCAGCGGGCGGCCAGCCCGCGCGGCACCGCAGCCTGGAGCTTTACTCCAGGCTCTTCGGCGACAAACTGCATGGCAAGGCGGTGGGCGCTCTCGACAGCAGCGACAGAGACGGCGAATCCACGGAGCTCGAGGGCGCGACGCTCGCGACTCCGACGGCTCGAGTGACTGGGAGGAGGCGGAGGTATGGGTCTGGACCCCCCCCTCCTGACGGGGTTTCGGAAAGAGGAGGCGGAGGCCACCGAGCTGGGGCGCCCGCCCGCTGGGGAGGCCGCCGCCGCCGCTGGGGAGGCCGCCGAAAGCGCCGCCGGGGAGCCCGCCACCGCCGCCGTGGAGGCCACCGAAGAGACGCGGGCCTTGCTGCGGAGCAGCTTCCTCGACGCCGACGAGGTTGACCCCTTCGGCTTCCTGGGTCAGGATGAGGGCGAGCCTGGGCCTTGCGGAACTTGCGGGGGGGCGCCTACCGCCCCCGCGTCCACTGGCTCAGAATACGGCGTTTTGGGAGAGAGGAACGCGCGCCGTGCGCATAATCAAGAGTAGTCGGATTCCTGTCGAGCTGCCGAACAGGCAGGCGGGTCCGAGGAGGAAGGCGATCCTCAGGGGAGGCGCAGTGGGCAGCGCAAGTGTCGAGTGGGAGCGGGCAGTTCGCCTGCTCGCGACCGTGCGCTTCGAGCGGGAGCGGGTTGCTTGCGTGCCCATGAGCAAGATGAAAACGCCGACGATGTTGTCTGTGGCGCAGGGTTCCATCCCCTGCAAAGTTGAGGAGGCGCACGTCGACGACATCAGCCACAGATAAGAGCGCTGGGTCTCCCACGTCGAGGGGGCCATCATGCGGCGCCGCGGGCAGGCCGCGCCCCGCCTGCCCAGGCGCGCAAGCGCCAGGCTGCAGCAGATCAGAGCGCAGCAGCAGGCTTCCCGCCGCGGCGAATCGCTGAAGGACGTCGTTGCAGGTTGGCGGGCCCAGGTGACTTGCATAGCCACGCGGATGGGCAAGTTTCGTCGTCGCTGGCACGCCGGCGAGCAGTGTCGCCGCAGCCTGGCCAGGACAGCGTTAGCTCCATGGGCGCATTTCTGATGAGGCCCGCCGCTCCATTCGCGGGCGACGGGCCCCCCGTCCGCTGCAGCGGCGGCAGGTGCGGAAGGCGTTGGGGGGCGTGCATTCCCTGTCGGGTGCGCTGTTGAGTAAGCTCGAGGCCGCGGCCAGAGCGGCCACTCAACGCGCCCGTCAGCGCGCAGTTGCGGCGCGCTTGGCGGACTTGCGCGCGTGGATGTCCGCGCCCGCGTGGGAGTCGAGGGCCTTCCTCTAGCTGAAGCGGGCGCCGCCGCGAGTGGAGGAAGTGCTCGTCCACGGCCAGGTGGCGGCCCACCCGAGCGACCTGCTCGAAGCCAAAGCGCGCGGGCGGATGGGTCTTTGGGCGCCCGCGGCGGCGGACTCCAGCGAGGCCGAGGAGCTGTCCGATAAGCTTCGCGAGCAGCTGGGCCGCGCTGAGCTCGCGCCGTTCACCGCGGTGGACCACGGGCCGCGCCGCGGCGCATGCGGGCGCGCGCAGGGCGCGGCGTCGCGACCAGCGGCAATCGACATGGACCGGCTGCCCGACACCGCGCTGGTCGAGCTAGTCGAGCTCTTCGCGGCGGCGGAGGCCGCGGGCACTCGGCCCTGGCAAGTGCTCCTCGCCATGGGGCGCTTGCTGGGCAAGCAGAACGGCGGGGGGCGAGTCAGTGCTGGGAGTTCTCGGCGTGCTCGCCCGCCTCTGGAGCATGGCTCGCGAGGGGGACATGCGCCAGACGGCGCCGGTGTGGGGCGCATCCGTTGCCGGCGGCGCGACGCTGCAGGAGGCCTTTCATCCGCGCCGTGGATGAGGGGGTCCGCGGCGCGCAGGGGGGCAGCCTATGGCCATGGCCTGATGATCGACGCCCGAGAGTTCCACGACTCCATGGGCTGGGCGCCGCTGGGCCGCGCCGCGGCTGGCTGGGGCCCCCCGCCTGCGGCCCTGGCCCCGAAGATTAAGCAATGCATGGCAGGGCGCGCCCTCCTGCAAGACTCGGCCGCGCGCTGGTCTCCCGGCCCGCGAGGCCCGCCGTGCAGGGCCTGCGATCGGGCGCGCGATTCGGGAGGTGCCTCACTGATCGCGCCTTGCATCAGATGGCGGAGGGGTCGCCGCGCAGGCTGATGCCGCTGATCTGGGTCGATGACCCGTCGCTGTCGGAGGTTGGCTCGCGCGCCGCCGTCATCGGCGGGCTGGGCGCCGGCGTCGCCCAGCACGGCCACTTGTTGCCGCGGGAGAGCCTCGCGGCCTCGCCTCAGAGCGCGGCCCCCTGCGCTCGCTGCGCCGACGCGGTGAAGATTGCCTCGTTCGATCATTTGCGCGGCGTCGCGGGCGCAGCGTCGCGGCCGCGCGCCGGGGCCCCCGCCTGGGGTTTCATCTCGGGGCCGGCAGGCGGATGGCCATGATGACCGTCCGCCAGCGCATGCCCGAGTCGGGGGCGGCCCGCGCCCGCCTGCGCGGCGCGGCGCGAGCGGGCCGCCGCTGCGCCCGATGCGCTCGCATCGAGCAGGTCGGAGTCCAGACGGTTGCGACCGACGGCCGCGAGGTCTGCGGAACCTTCGGCCGGCGGATGCTGGAGTTTCGCAGGCGGCCAGGCGCTGCGTCGGGCGCGGCGCGCCGCGGGCGCTGCTTGGCGCCCCGGCTTCTCCTTCGCGTTGGGCGCGGAGATCCCGCGCGCAACGGTGCCCGGACAAAAAGCGCCCACGCCCATGGCGGCAAGGCGATGCATCGTGATGACCACCGCGACTGCGAAATGCCATTGCGTCGCACCCCCCCCCGAAACCAAAATTGAAGCGTCCGCATTTTGCCCATGGCCTGCGGCCTGCCGCCCGCGCCCGCCAACTTTGAATTCTGGGGGGGGGGGGGGGGCATTCTGGTCCGAAGTGCTTTGGTAACTCAAGGTCTTGGCGGGGCACGCGTGGGCACTTTTACTCCACCCACCGAAGTTCCCGCGGGGGGAGGTCCGCCCGTGTTTCTCCGCGTGGCGGCGCAGCCCAGACCTGAGGAAGCGGACAGCGACGGCTTGGATTCCTGCCCACGATCGTCTGCGCGAGGCCGAGCCCGGCCGAAGGTCTCGCCTGGCCCGCGGGCCCATTTCAGCTTGACAGTGCAACCTGATGCAATGCGGGTGGGGCCCTGTGGGCCCCGTGGGCAGGGAGCGCCACGGCGAAGATGGATCGCGCGAGCGCTGGGCTTTTCCAGATGCAGCCAGTGTCGACCGCGGCTCGATGGAGCAGCTGCTCGCCGCCAACGACGATTCCATCCAGGAGGGGCTCCGGCGACAGGCGACGCAGCACTGGCGCGGCTCGAGGCTCCGTGGGGGGGCGCGGACATGTCATCCCTGCGGGGGCTGCTCGGCGTTCTGGACCGCCTTCCCAGCGGCTCCTGGCCACGATCGCCGCGGGCGGCAGGTGGCCCAGGCATTCGAAGCAGGAGACTCTCGGTGCGGCCGTCGACGCCGCTTGCCCCAGGTGCGGTGGAACGGCTGAGCCGGCCCACCATCGACTGTAGGCCTGCCCCTGCAACGTGACCTCGCAGGCCTACTCCGACAGCGCCTGCCAGCGCGGCCGCGCGCGGGTGGAGCACGAGGCGCACGAGGGATTCTGGCTCCGCGGCGTGCTGCCGCGGGCATGGACTGAGAACCCAGAGCCTATCGCCATGGGCCGCTGGATGAGTGCGGGCCAGGAGGGCCCCATTGCTGCCGGCGCGCTGGGCGCCAGCACGGCGGCGCGGCCCCCCGTCGTCTTCGGCGGCGCCACCGGCGGGCCAGAGGCTGCTGCCCCCGCGCTGCGCCAAGTGGGCTTGGCGGCAGTGGTCGTGCAGCCCCATGATGGGCGCGCGGTCCGCGCCATCTTCGGAGGCTTGTCGGGGCCGCAGCAGACGGTGCACCGCGGCGAGCAGGGGGCTCTTGTCTTGGCGGCCCAGTGCTCTTCGGGCCCGACGATGTTCATCTCGGACGATCTGTCTGTGCGTGATGGGTGGTGGGCTCAGCGCGATACCGCGCCGCGCGGCCCTGATGCTGATGCGTGGCGGGTGTTAGCAGCTGTGTTCGCCGACCGTCCGCTCGGCGCATCCGTGGTCTTCCACGTGAACTCGCAGGTGGACGAGGCCGACCAGCGGCGCACTCCGCAGTGGGCAATCTATCCGTGGCAACGCCGTCGCCGACGTGTTTGCGGGCGTCGCGGCCAGATCCGTCAGGCTGCCTGCCGCTGTTTCTCATTGCGTTCATCGCGCCGAACGCCGTGCCCTCCACCTTCGCTGGAAGTTTCTCTGGGGCCACGCGGGGCGCCATGGCGGCAGAGGGTAAGGCGCCGAGGCCGCCAGCCGTGCAGCGCAGGGCGCCGCCTGGGCGCCGTGCCGCGGCCCTGCTCTGCTCCTCGCACGCCCTGGCCGCAGACGGCAGCTGCTCGCGGTGCCGCTGTTCGGCGTCGCGCGCCGCCCGCGTGGAGTGGCTGCAAACCCCGTGCCCTGGACTCCACAACGTTGGCCCCGACCTGTGCGAGTTGGGCGGCGGGCAGCGGGTCCGCGTCGGCGTTGGCGAGCCGCACGGGTCTCACACGATGGCGCTCCACACGGCGCTGGACCTCTGGTATTGCCGCTGCCGTGGTTTCTTCGCTCCGGCTTCTCGGCAACAGTTCGAGCGCGGGCTGAGGGACGAGTGCCCAGCCCGAGGAGGTGTCCGCCCCACTACCACGGGCAAATTCTACCTGGGCCGCATCTTGCGCGGCCTGTGGCCGAAGGCCCTGACGCGGGCCGTCGCCGCCCGAGCGGCTGCCGCAGCGGAGGCTGCTGCGGCTACGCCCACGGTGCCGGGCGCGGAGCTCGCGGGGCCGCCCGGCGTTTCGTCCAGCCCGAGAGCTGAGGCACCTGCTCGTTTCTGTCCGCATGCGTAATGATGGCCTCTCGGAGGTCCGGCCCGCCGCGGCCGCTGGGCGTCTCATCGAAAGGTGGGACGTTTCAATCTGTCCATTCCACTCCTCCTCCTCCTCCTCCTCCTCCTCCTCCTCCTCCTCCGCTTCCACTGCCCGCGCCCAGATCTGCGAGTGGCGGCCAAGAAGAGGCCCAGGAAAGGACACAGGTTGCCCTGAACCACCTGCGAATGTCAAAACGGCTCGTGATTCCACGTAGTGCCTGTAGCACGCATCCTCAAGACACATCGGTTTAAACCATCGAGTCCAGCAGATCCGTTGGGCGATGGCGAGGCATCGCGATGATGGGGCGAGTCGCCAGCGGCAAACATGATGGGACGCAGACTTTATGACATACCCACCGCCATGTGGCAACATTGCATTTTACTCCATCATCATCGGCACCGGTCAATCAGGTCATCGCAAGCTGGGTGTCGTAAGAGCGCACGCCCACAGGCACATCCGCAGGTTCGGACACACGCATACAACCACACACACAATGGCATACAAGCACACACGCACGCAACACACACCCACACAACAGGCACAAGCGAACATGCAACAAACACACACACACCACACACACACACGTACACACAAACACACAACCACACAAACACACACACACACACACACACGCAAACACACAAACACACAAACGCATAAACTCACAAACAAACACGCACATATGTTTTGCGTCGGCGGCTAGGCAGAGTGACTGCGCTGGCAGAATGAATACGTAGGCAAACACAAACACACAAACACATAAACACACAGACACACGCACTCACAGACACACACACACACACACGTACAACACAACATAGAGCACACGCGCAAACACACACACACACACTTACACACACTTACACATTTACACACTTACACAGACAGACAGACAGACAGACAGACAGACAGACAGACAGACAGACAGACAGACAGACAGACAGACAGACAGACAGACACACACACACACACACACACGCACTCGCCCTGCCCTGACTTCAGCAATCTCGGCTTTAGTATCCTCGGCTGTTGCTCATCCTTCTCCTCCTGCTCCTCCTTCTCGTCCTCCCCCCCCTTCCCGCCTCCTGACGCACCCTCCCTCCGCATCCTCCAGCTCCTGCTTATTTTCCTCCTCCTCCTCCTCCTCCTCCCTCCCCCTCCCCTCCTCATCCTCCTCCTCCTCCTCCTCCTCCTCCTCCTCGCCTCCTCCTCCTCCTACGCTCCTCGTCCAATCTCCACCTCCTCCCTCCTCCCCCGCGCAATCTCCACTGTTACGATGCGTCTAATTATTATCATTGGTATTCTTATCCGCATTCTTATTCGTATTATTATTATTATTATTATTATCATCGTCACTATTACCATGTCAAATAATCGTCTGCAATCTATTCGTATTATTATTCGTGTAAGTATTACGCGTTTTCCTCTTCCTCCTCCTCCGCCAGCGTCCCGTCACTCTGTGCCTCCCCCTCCTCCTCCTGCCCTTTGTTCTCCGTCCTCCCTCCTCCTCCTCCTCCTCCTCCCGATTTCCTGATGTCCTGACGGCATTGCTGTTCTACGAGCGCTGCCGCGTCCCTCCTCCTCCTACGTCCCCCTCCTCCTCCTCCCTCCTCCTCCTCCCCCCTCCCCCTTCACTCCCTCCCTCCTGCTCCTTCCCTCTCCTCCCCCTCCCTCCCGTCCTCCCTCCTCCCTCCTCCTCCCCCTCCTCCCTATCCTCCTCTCCTCCTGGACTTCCCTCCTCCTCCTCCTCCTCCCTCCTACTCCTCCTCCTCCTCCTCCTCCTCCCTCCCCCTCCTCTCCTTTCCCGTGGGGCACACAAAACACCATGACACGCCGCCGGGGGAGCCCACCCACCCGCCACGGCCGAAAGAAGCACCGGTGTTCGGACAACGGACGACTGAGCCAGGCGCGCCGGCAGGCTACCCACGGCGGGCACCTGGCACCCTTAGCCTGCCTCCCGACTTGTAGGGAAACAAGAAGTGACACAAAACAAACAACTCGCGAGGTCCGGCGGATTTTCGATCGGCGTTGGGCCCCGTGGCGGCGCCTCCGGCGCCGACCCTGGCGACTGCCTCCGCGCGCCAGGGAGGGGGTTCAGCGCCGAGCCGAGAAATCCTCGCGGACTCCGAAGTTTTTGTTTTTATGTTTGTGAACTTTTTTGTTCCCTTAGGACTTGCCCCTCCCCTTGCTCCGCATGCCAAACCACATTTCCCTCCCCCAATGGCGTGGCTCTCTGCTCCCCCGTCGTGGGGCGCCCCGTGCTGCTGCGCCGCGGTCGTGATGCGCCCCTCTGCCTCCGCACTGGCCGGCGCCCGCTGCGTACCCGCCCACGCGCCAAACGGCGTATGGCTTCTCGACTCGACTCTCGATCCTCGGAGGCCCTGGGCGCCGCGCGGGCGGGTCCCTGCTGCCAGTCTGCCACAGCTTCTTCTGCGCCTCGCCCCCGGGCGTCGGAGGCGGGAGCGCGGACACCAAAAGGAGGCCCGCTGCCGCTTCTCCAGCCTCGCCCCTTCCGCCCCCCAACCCCCCACCTCCTCATCCCTCCCATCCCCCTTCACCCCCTTCCCTTCCCATCCTCCTCTCCCTCCTCCTATTTCATTACCTCTCCCTTCTCCGCACTTCCTCCTCTATCCTCCTCCGATCTTCCTCCTACTCCCAACCTCATCCTCCTCCTCCCCTCCTCCTCCTCCCAATCTTCTCCGTTTCTCCTCCTCCTCCTCCTCCTCTCTCCCTCCCTCTCCCTCCTCCTCCCTACTCATCCTCCTCTCCTCCTCCTTTTTTGTTTTTTTCCCTCCTTCGCCTCCAGCCTCCTCCTCATCCCTACCTCCTCCTCCCTCCCCGATCTTCCTCTTTCCTCTATCTTTCCTCCCCCGTCCTTCGCCTCCTCCTCCCGCATCCTCCCACCTCCCTCCTCCCACATCCCTCCTCCTCCTCCTCCTCCCCTCCTCCTTCCTTCTGCCTCCTCCGCCTCCTCCCTGCTCTTCCTCCCTCTCTATACACCTCATCCCCCGTCCTTCGCCTCCTCCCTCCTGCTCCCGAGCCCTCCGCCTGCAAGCGCCCGCAGGCCGCGGAGCGCCCCAGGGGGCCTTCCGAAGAGGAGGGGGGGGGGGGCGTCCAGCAGGGGGGGCTCGGAGACCGCGGCCCGAGGCGTGCGCCCGGGCGGGGGGGGGGGGGACGTGCGGAACGACCGTGGCCCCGACCATGTCTGAAGGGGCCCTGGGACACACACATAACTACTCCAGATTTCGTAATAAAGGGAGGGGGGTCTCATTTCGGGGGGGGGTCTCTTCCAGGCTATCTTGGAGGGCCTGGGGGGTCTGGGGACGATGTTTTGGAGGGTTCTCCTACGGGGGAGGTCTGAGATGGCTTGTCTTGGAGGGTCCAGACCCCCTCCCTTTTAGAACGAAATCTGGAGTGCACACAAATAAAACGATTTCCCATGTTTCTGGGTTTTCGTCTTCCCCCCCACTTCCCATATGTTCCCACATCTTCCGGGGGATCGACGATGAATTGTGTCTGTGTGCTTTTTCCCTCCTGACATAGCCCCGACCATTTTGTCCATCCCCTCCTAGCCATCACCCCCCTGTTGGCCGCCCCCGAAAACCTGCCTCCATGTGGAACACGAGGAACGAGGTTCAACACCAAACAACTTTGATCAAAAGCTTCTGCCCACCGCCCGGTTGGTGGTCTGGTGGACGGATGCTTCCTCCCCCTAAACAGCCTGGGGCCTGAGGGTCTTCTCTCCGTCGTCGTTTCGGGGTCCCTGAGGTCAGGGCCGCCCGAACAAGCATTGCCGCGAACTATGGAAAGGCTGCGCAAGCGGAACAGTTGGCGAGAGAACGCCCCATGAGCCAGCCGATCGTTTTTGTCGGCCAATCTGGCCAACCTCGGGAGACAGATGCAGGGCAAATCGCACACGTCTCGTGCGGATAGGCCGCGCGCACCACACTTGATGCATTACCAAACATGGTTTGCTCTCCTCGCCGACACGTTGCACCTCCAGCCTTGCCGCGTGCGCGCGACACCCTCAACGAGGCTCGGAGCACAGAACGTCAACCAGCCTGTGGGACAACAGCTACGACCATCTCGCTGTGCGCTTCGACATTCTCGAACTGGACCTCCAAGAACAAGAAGCCGCACACGACCACGCTGAAAAAATGGTGAGCGCATCGCCCTGGTCCTCGACCTCTCGCATAGCTGCCCCTGAAGGACGGGGCAGGACTGCACCGAGACCGAGGCGCGCGAACGTGCGTGCGTGCACGCGCGACGCACGCCTGCGCGGGTGGCGGACCCGCCCGCGCCGGTGGGGCGTTCGAAGGGTCACCGCGCACGCTTTCGTGCGCGCGCGTGCGGGCGAGCGCGCCGCGCGCGTGCGCAGGCGGTCCCGCCCTCCCGCGGCTGCAGAGGTGCTCGAGAGGCCCCCGCTGGACGCCGACCAGCCATGACTGGGGGAGCTGTGTTCCTTACCCCCCTGGGGGAACCCATCGCGTCGGCGATCTCCCGGGACGGGGTGTCGAAATCGATGGGCCCCCCCAGGGGGGTCAGGACCACAGCCCTGGCCTGGGGCGCGCTCTCGGGCCACGGCCTCCGCGCCACCTGCACCGCGAGCAGGCGCACCGCGCCTGGGCCTGCGGCGTGCCGTGCGGCCGGGACGCTGGCCTCTCCAGCCCGTGAGGGCTGGGCACGCAGGGCCCTGCCCTGGGAAGCCGGGCCGTGCGACTCCCACTGAATCGGGTCGGGCGAAAGGGGGGGATAGCAAAGGGAGGGGTTGAGAATCAGCTCGCGTAGCTGATTTTCCCGGCGTCGCCCGGCGCCGGAAGGCGCCCATGTATCGAGGAATTGGCCCCTCGGTGAGGCCGAAACCAGCTGCATGCAGCAAGTTTCGTAACCCCCCCTTTCCCAATCCCCCCCTTTCGTCCGGCCCGATTGAAGCAGGAGCCGAGCGGCCCTGCCGCGGCCCGGCAGCAGCCCACGGCCAG